AAAGAAAGAAAGAAAGAAAAGAAAGAAAGAAAGAAATGAGCCAGGTATGCAGGGGGCTGGCTCTATCATTGCTATCTTTAGGGTTCTGGAGTTGGACAGCATACAAATTTGACAGATAGTGTTTGCTATTTTTTCTTTCTTTCTTTCTTTCTTTCTTTTTTTTTTTTTTTTTTTTGAGATAGGGTCTTGCACTGTTACTCAGGCTGGAGTGCAGTGGTATCACGATATCTTACTGCAACCTCAAACTCCTGGGCTCAAAGGATCCTCCTGCCTCAGCCTCCCAAATAGTGGGAGTACAGGCACCTTCTACCACACCTGGCTACATTTTCTATTTTCCCTAGAGACCAGCTCTTGCTCAGGCTAGTCTTGAACTCTTGGCCTCAAGTGATCCTCCTGCCTCAGCCTCTAAAGTAATAAGATGACATACCCAACCTATTTTTTCAATTTATACACTTATTTTTAAATATATGAACAGAAACTAATTTAGGGGAGTGTGTCCTCTGCTAAGAGCCTTTAAGATACTAGAGGAAGAGAATAAAAGACTTTCCAGAAAGCCATTTTTGGAAGGATAGTATGAGTATATATCATAGAAAAGTCTTGTTTTAAGGAGTCTGATATCTAGATTTGATTCATAAGGTGTGCACACAAAATTAAAGAGCAGACATGAATGCAAGTATTGTTACAGCCCAGGGGAAATAAAAAGCAGTAAGTGTCAAGTTGGGAGTGATATCGTTGGCTGGATTCATGGGGACACCCTAGGTGGAGGAAATGGAACTTGGTCTGGGTTTAGAGAAATGGGGAGGGTAGTGGGGATAGGTTTGGGGGCAGTATTTGGTGGGAAGCAATGGCATGAACAAAGTTGGGAGCCCACAGGGACAGTGACCATGAGCAAGCCTGACTAGGTAGGGAGGTAGTGTCTGGGGGATCCCTTTTTCCTTTTAGAGGGTGATGCTTGTGGCCTTGGAACCTTGTGGCAGAGCCATGGTGACCAGTCTTGTGAACTTACGCATGGTGGGTCAACATGCCCATGCCTGTGGGTGTAGGTTTCACAAAGGTCCCTTTTACCCAAGAGGTCTATGAGCTAACAATATTTTGATTTCTTGTACTGCAAGCAAAAGGCAAGGACTTTTTTTGGCATACTCTTTGTATTTATTTATTTCATTATTTTTAAAAACATTTTTACTGGTTTATATATCAAAAGTGAAAAAGCATACAAATCAACACAATTTCAAGAACATTTGCCCCACCCTCTGTAGGTACTGTGTGTGGCTGTCACTGTCCAGTGCATAATTTAAAAAGAAAAAAAACAACAAAGTATGAAGATTTTTCAGTGCAGAGTATGGTAGAATGATTAGGCTTCTATTTGAGTACATTCATTTGAGATTTATGTGCAATTCTTCAATAAATTAGTCTTCGTGCCATTCTCTCTAGCTTTTCAAAGAAAATATCTAACTAAGGTAGCTGAATCTGAGCTCTCTGTCTCTTTCTCTCACCCCCTCTCACGTGTCCACTTGCTCACACACAGCAGCCGGAAATGACACATTGCAGTGAGTCACCAATGCAGTTGTGAGTCACCCTGTAATTGGGGAAAGTTCTGTCCTGGTAGGTCGTGCAGCCCCTTGCAGTTCTGTTCCTAAATACATTGAAAAAGTTTGAAACCACTCTGTCCTCAATGAAGTGTCTTTCACCCACCCCAACCTTTTGGTCCCTAAAGCAGGCTGAAGTTGGAACGTCTTGGCAGGGACCCTGATCCATCAAGTACAAAAAGACCAGGCAAGGGGAGGAGTGAGGGGGCTCTGGCAGCCACAAGGTGGCAGTGCGGGCCCCATCATGCCTGCTGCCCAGAGAGGTGTGACAGTCAAGTGGCCAGACTCTTGAGATGCAATGACAGACCACAAAGCAACACTATGAGCAAGTTTAAATAATGTGTTGTTGTTTTTTTTTTTTTTTATCCTGTTTATAGTACTGTTCCTCACTAACAAGGGCAAGGATGTGATAAATATTTGGGCATACCCCTGGCATCCCACCCTCCCCACAACAAGATTGGGGGTGAAGAGGCAAGCACACATCTGACATTTCTTCCTCTATTCCTGTAAAATAAAGGGAAGCAAAAACCTGCTTCCATGAGTAAACAAGTCACCTACACTCCAAAATAATATCTGTACACTATTTCTGTCTCAGCACAGAGGGGAATTGCTTTGCCAGTCCTCAGCCCCCCTGCACTAGGAAAGGGTGATCAGTGCCAGAATGGGCCTTGAGATGAAAGGATGTTCCTTCTAGTGGCCTTCTTTGGCCTGTAACCAGCCTCTTTGGCAGTGGCAGACAGAGCAAGAGTGATGGCAACATGACTGGAACGCAGATCATTTCTACCAAGCACATAAAAGATCCTGTAAGCTTGGTGGTTCCATCCTACCAGGGCCCCGGTAGGAACCAGGTCTGAAAACCTGAGTGGACAGAGATAATGGGCAGAAGCACTGATGATTCTGTGGATGTTATAGTTAGAAGTCTGGAGACCTGCAGGCTTTGTGGTCCAGGCTTCTCTCCAGGGTCCCCATCAGAGACTGAGGAATTTCACCTGAAGGGCCTCTTTCCAAGTCCTAGGAGAGTCTGAGGTCTAGGAGACAGATTTGAAATTTTATGATTTTTAAAAGGTGAATATCTTCACTTTCTCCAGAAAGAGTCAATAAAACTAAAATTCTTTCTTTCCTCGTTTCTTCTTTTCTCCAGTTTTCTTCCAGATGAAGGCTGCTTTTCCCATGGTCAGGGGTCCATCACTTGGCCCATGAAAAGGACTGCACCTGAGGATGGGAGAGTCATGGGGTTGGGAAGGGACCATATAGTTCCCCAAGCTCGATGTAGATGGAGGGACTGAGATTCACGAAAACTGACAATTATCTGGAAACGCTGCTGCCTAAGGGATGTGGCTGGGACTGGCCTGGCCTGGCTGGATGGAGGATGCTGCCTCTAGGGAGAGGCAATGGGATAGGGCTATGGATTCTCACCCAGAGTCCTGTTGGGGCTATCTGAGGGGTGTCTATCTGTATTTGGACTGGTGTCTGAGACAGGGAGAATGGGTGGGGAGACGTGGAATGTGGTGGAGCTCCAGGCTTACCTGTGGGGTTGTGCCGGACCACAAAGAGGAAGGGTCTGTCCATAATGATCTGCTGAGGGACCATCCGGCCAGAGATTGAAATGGCTGGAAGAGAAGGGACAACATCTTAGAACAGAGGGACATTGGCTCTGGTGCCTGAGTTGATCACAAGTGACTTGTGGACACCAGCTTTCTATCTGATAGAAATACTGGGAGGTGATTTTTAGGAGGCTTTTTGTTCTCTTAATTATAAACCCTAAAAGTTTAGTAGTGTTCTCTGATACCTAGTTTCCTCCAGGAGTTTGGTAGAAATAGATCAGTTATTCACTCACAAATATTTATCTAAATGTTTTTAGGGCAGGTTCCTTAAGTTTATTGCCTGTCGAGGGAACAATTGGGGCTTTCTGTTGGGAGGGCTTTTTACCTTGAGGGCCCTCAGGAGCAACCAGGTAAGAGAAAGTTACCCAGGAGAAGTAGGCCCATTTCCAGGCCAGGAGAGGCCCATGCAGAGCTACAGAGACCGTTATGGGTTCAGGTACTATTATCCTGAAGGGTGATTGGGGCACCAGGCAGAGGCCCCTCTTGAAGCCCTGGGCTGAGACTCACCCGTGGAGGAGGATGCTACTGTGCCACTCTCATTCACCTCAATCTTAACCTTCTGCAGTGCCTGCGAGACGTGGAGAGGCTCTTGTTCTAAAACAGATGTGGATACAAGGATAGATCAGCTGGGGAGAAAGAAGCTTCTTTGTCCTCTTCAGGGCCCCATAGTCCACTGGGATAAGAAAATGAGAGGGAAAATCTTCTCACCTGAAAGACTCGTGAAGTCGGCCTGGTCTGGACTGAACATGTTGGTCATCCCCAAGTTCTCCAGAGGCTTCCTGAGGTCAACTTTACTCTCTAGAGAGAACCTGCAGATAGCAACAGGAGGCAGCTCCAGCTGTGATCTCCTCTGGGCAGCCCCTGCCTCTTTTCTTCCCCTACCAGATCTCCCCCAGAAGCAGAACTGACATGCAAGTTGGAGAAGGGCTGTTTTATCAAATCTGTTTGCAAAGTCTCTCTTGTTGCTAGAGATTTCTAATATTCACGATCATTCTTTTGAAATCTACCCACCCCCTCGAACTTATGACTAATTACTTTCCTCAAATAAGACAGTAGTTTCAGCATAATTTTATTCAATCTAGCGGGGGAGGGGGGCAAGGGCAAATTCCTCAGCAAGGATGTTTGAACAAAAGTCTAGTCTGTAGATTGTGTTCTGAGAGCTAACCCTGAAGAGGATTCAAGCAGTGAGGCTTTGGGGGCACTCTACTTCTCACCGGGGTGCAACCATTTACCTCGATTTTTATGAGCTAGAGAGAGAGAGAGCATGCAAGTGAGAGCACGCAGGAGCTAACAACTAAATTCCTCTCCTCCAAGCCTGGCATTATAGCATCTGGAGATTTGGGATAGGCATTGTGGGAGGCTTCCCTATAATTCAGGAATTACCTGGCCTGAGCCCTCTCTACTCCCTTTGCAGAAGCATTTAAAAAACCTGCTCTGGCCAGGCAAGGTGGTTCACGCCTGTAATCCTAGCACTTGGGAGGCCAAAGTAGGTGGATTGCCTGAGCTCACAGGTTTGAGACCAACCTGAGCCAGAGCAAGACCTTGTCTCTAAAAATAGCTGGGTGTTGTGGGGGATGCCTGTAGTCTCAGCTACTCAGGTGGCTGAAGCAAGAGAATCACTTGAGCCCAAGAGTTTAAGGTTGCTGTGAGCAATGACGCCACAGTACTCTACCAAGGGTGACAAAGTGAGACTCTGTCTCTAAAAATAAATAAATAACCTGCTCTGTTGAAACCCCAGCCAGAAGCTGTGATTTGAGCTGGCCCATCTGCAGAAGTGATTCCTTTAGTTTGTGTTTGACTGTTGACTTGGGACAATGGTGGTGGGAGTGCAGGGCATCATAAGTGGATGTAGACTGATTCAGCCCCTCACTTCCATCCTTTCCCTGACTTTCCTTTTGGCTAGCTTTTACTGGGTGTTCTGGGGGTGGCCAGTGTGGGGGCATAGTCTAGAAAAGCTCTCCCCTGCTTTCCAGCAGAAACAGGAAGAGGGATGATCTAAGGAGTCATAATCAAACCCAAGCCTGAGTGTTTCCCATCAGCCTCCCACACGCACACGTAGCCCCTGCCCTGCAAGCATCATGGATCTGGGAAATTTAACATGGGGGTGGTGATTTCAGGAAGCCAGGAGTGAGGGGCGGGGGAAAGAGCAAGGTCTGGGGTGGCAGGAGCCTTACTTGGGCAGAACCAGGAGGCGGGGCACTCTGGTCATGTTGCCTTTCCACTGGCTGATGAGCTGAGCATCGAGGATGTTGGTGAGGGCAGAGAGTGGCACCTCTTTCTGATAGGGAGCAGCAATGAACATGCTGAGGGTGTCCCCATGGTATGGCAACTCCAGGATATCGTAGTAATGGCCGTCAGGGGTGGTAAACTCGGCTGTGAAGACACCAAATGGAGCATTAGAAATGACTGCTCTCTCATTGGCTCCAAGCCAACACTAGTTTTCACCTAGTTCTCTTGCCCACTCACTCTTTTTGGATGCCATGTTCTCCATTGTGCTTTTGGGGCTCCACCTCCCACTGCACCTCTATTCAGTACTGTCACTTCCATTTCCCTTCTCTCCTGCCAATTCAGGGTTTTCTGGTTTCTCTGTCTCCTTGGGGCTTCCTCACCTTTACTCCCTTCACCCCAACTCCCAGCCACTAACTCATTCTAGTCCCCTTCATCTTAATCCCACCCTCCCTTATCCCTCTCTCAGCAGGATTTGCTGGCTCCAGGCAATCACACTTGAAAATCAGAGACAGCAGTCCAGTGCACAAGTGTTGGCCTAAGGGAGTTTCTGGATTTCAGCTTCCTCTTATATGAGATAAAGTTCCTTTCTTCTGTTCCTATTATCCCTGTGTCTCCCCTTGGGAGATCTGTGTCCCTTGGGGATCTCCCCTTTGGGGGAGTCTGTGTCAAAGCCCAGCCGTATTCTAGGTTTTTCTTCCCTTACAGAGGAACATTCCCTGTGGTCTTCCTTCCTCAGGGGTGACACTTTGGGTGCTCCTTGGGAATAACCCCAAGGATGAAACACTGTGGCCATGGGTGATGGGGAGAGGGGCTCTTGTACTTACTGTAGTTGAACCTGCTGGTTTGAGTCATCATGGGCACAGAGACGGTGCTGCCGTCGGACTTGTGGAAGAGGCGGTGGTGGGTGCCTTTGGTGGGGAAGGGTGCCTTCCAGTGGCCATTGAAATAGAGGGCATTCACCAGCACCAGGCGTGTCAGCTGGTCCACTGCCCCTTTCCCAAATAAGTCACTGATCATACCTATGGGAAACCCATTGACCAGGAAATTAGATTTTTTTTTTTGAGTCAGAGTCTCACTATGTTGCCGCTCACAGCAACCTCCAACTCCTGGGCTTAAGCAATTCTTTTGCTTCAGCCTCCTGAGCAGCTGGGGCTACAGGTGCCCACCACAAGGCCTGGCTATTTTTACTTTTGTTGCAGTTGTCATTGTTGTTTAGCTGGCCTGGGGTTGGGCTTGAACCTGCCTTGGTGCATGTGGCTAGCGCTGTAACCACTGTGTATGAGCACTGAGCCTTTTTTTTTCCTTTTTTGAGACGGAGTTTCACTTTGTTGCCCTTGGTAGAGT